ACATGCAGGTCACTCACTGTCCTCTTCTGGCCGCTATTTGAAGTGCAGCCTGGTGTGACCAATACTTTTTACTGGAAACAGGACCCCAGTCACAGGCAGGAGGGACCAGGACATCTGTAAATGTGCCCCTCTGGGCCCAGAGATGCCTGGAACCTGACAAACATCAGGAGGGGTCCCCCACCATCCAATGACAGTGGCAGTAGCAGCTCCAGGCTGTAGGGTGCACAGAGCCTCTCCCCAGGTGGCCCCCAAGGCTCCAACAGCGTCAGTGTTGTGGCAGAGCAGGCCTGGGGCAAGCCCAGACCCCAAGAGTAGAGGGAGGCTCCCGCTCAAGGGCTCTTCCCAGGCCAGCTGATGGTCTTCAGCCAGAGAGGGACTCACAGGGGTGCCCACAGGGCTCAAGGCTGTGCTGTGGCTAGATACAGTCTGGCTAGATGCACATCCTGCGAATGCATGTCCTGCTGAATGCAGGCCCCCCTGGATGCATGCCTGGCTAGATAAAGGTGGAGTCCAGAGGCCCAGTGTCCTGCTGGCTGAGAGCTCGGGCCTCAAATAGCTGCTTGATGAGGGCAGACTTCTCCTGCTCCAGCTGAGTGATGCGCTCACTTTTGTCAGTCACCTCCTGGGCGAGCAAGCAGGTGGTCAGGGCCAGTTTGGCCTCCAGCCCCCACTCCCCACTTCCCTGTACCTCACCTGGGTGAGAAGCCGGTTCTGCTCTTTTAGCATGAGGATGGTCTGCTGCTGCCAGCCCGGGGCTGATGATGAGGTGGAGACCTGGGCAGGGCATGGGGGCCCCGAGGATGAGGGCAGAGCCTGTGGGAGGGCACGGTCAGGCAGGCCTTCCCTGGACAGTCTCCAGGACAAGGGAATGGAGGGAGGTTGGGATCACTCACCCTGCTGGCACAGGCTGCAGCCAGCAGCTCCCCCAGGCACCGGGCTACCTCCTGCACCTTAGGAAGCAGCTGCCCCAGAGGGCGGGGACTCCCTGCAGCCCCAAAGTCCTGGAAAAAAGCGGGGGAGCACTGGGAAGTGATGGGAGTCCCCCATTTGGCACTCCTGCCCCCCAAAGTTGCTGCTTAGACCCTAGAGGGAGCACAGGGTGTTTCTGGTGGGGGTCTACCCAAGGGTGCCCTGGGACCTTGGGGCGGTCCCAGCACTCACCACACTGGCTCTGCTCTGGCCCAGTCGGCGCTGGCGCTCCTGCACACGCTGCAGCTGCTGCCAGTACCAGTCGCGGCCCCGAGCCATCATTTCCAGACCCTGCAGCAGCACCTCCTGCTCCTGCTCCAGCTCCTTCAGCTGCTTCAGCTACAACACACGTGTGTGCAGGACACACGTGCCAGTGAGCACACACATCCATGCACACCTACATGCCTATGTGAATGTGCCAGAAGCCACAGGAGTGTAAGTTAAGGCATGCACAGCAGATCACACATGCACACCTACACAGAGTACATCAGCACGTGGGCAGGCTTCATCACACAGATGGATACTCATAGCCAGTCCCAGGGAGCCTGGCACCACTGCTCTGGGGAGCACAGTGGAGGCCCTGTTCTCATTCAGCCCCTCTTCTCAGACTCCCCCCTGGCTTGGCCCAGCACCCCCTCTCAAGGGTTCTTTCTGTAGAAAGCAGGAACCTGGCATGATAGGCTGAACTTCAGAATTGAGCCTCCTGGGGCAGGCAGGGCAGGGCCCAAGCTTCCTGTCACAGTATGTCCCTAAAGGACCTCATGACCTCCTCTGCTTGGCCCTGGCCAGCCCTCCAGTGCACTCAAGCCCAGGTAGGGAGAATCTTGGAGCTGACAGATGCGCCCAACAGGACTCCCCCAGAAGCTGGCTTGCATGCCCCTCCCTGGCTCCCAGCCTCCCAACCTCCCAGACAACCTGGAGAGTCCCTCAGAGCCCTAGCCCCTCTCACCAGGCCACAGTCCACTCCATTGGTGATCGTGTGCCTCCGACGTTCCCCTCGGGCCCGTGGGGCCCGCCGAGCATCTCCTGCATCTATTTCCAGGCCCCTGCAGCCTGCTGCTCCTGTGGTGGGGAGGCAGAAACCTGGCTGAACTCCAGGCCCAGCCAACCCAGGCACTGTGAATCCTGGGGGCCAGGCCTGCATGGTGTCCTCTGCTAGTTACCCCCACCTGGAGCCCACTCACTTGCCGGGGAGGGCTAACAGTTCCACACCTTACCCCATGCCCAGAACACAATGAGTACAGCTGGGGGTCTCAAAGGCTGCTAGGTAAAGGGTAAGGGGTAAGGGAAGGACTGGCAGGGCCTCTGGTTCTCTCAGTCCCTCTCTCACAGGGCCCTCCTGGGCAGGGGCTGAGGCAGGGGACAGGTGGAGCTGCTTGATGGAGATCAACTCTTGCCTGGGAGCAACTGCAGTATGAGGCACCTTAACACATACAAACACAGCGCACAGCCAGCAGTCAGGCATGTCCTGGGCTCATGGGAGATATCCTGGAGCTCGGAGACGTGTGCCTCAGGCTCACCAGGGCTTGTGGGGGGGTCTCTGGAAGGCCTCCCTGTCTACAGAAAGGGGCTCTAGGTGCAGAGGAGGTGCCCTGTCACCAGCACCAGGCTCATCTCCCAGGTCATGCCCTGGGCTGGGAGTGGGGCAGAGGCGTAAGAACCAGCCCAGTCTATGGCAGGCCTCAGGGTCCACGTCCCCAGTTGCTGAGCCACAGTTCAGGGTGAGGCAGTGGGAGGCACCGTCATGTCGTGGGGAGAGGCAAGACGGCACTGGCAAGTGGGGCTGGGGACTTCCTCTGCACGAGAGAGGAAGCCTGAATCTCTGGGCTGAGGGCTTAGGACGCTGTATGGGTATTGGGAAGCTTTACTGAAAAGGTAGGGTGGTTGGGGATCCAGATTTGGTCCTCTGAAATCCAGCCTGTCAATCAAGCATGGCTTGCCTCTTGTCTGGGCCTTGGCTTACCTGTAAAAGGGTGATAGCTAGAACCTGGCTGAGTAATGAGTGTAAGTGCTGCCTACGATGGGTGCACTGGCCATGTGGCCTTCAGGGGGTGTGGTAAATAAACCAGTGCCACAGGGCAGAGCAGGGCTAAACCATAACCAAGCCCTGAGCCTGTCCTTGCATGCAGTTCTAAGGCAGGTTTCAAACTGCACAGCCACAGGATGACATCCACCTTGCATTTGGTGTCAGCTGCACCCAGAAGCCTCCCAACCACAGGGACAGGGAGGCTGGACCATGAGGTACACAGAGAGATCCCAGCCTGGTATGGGGCTGCTGGATCAGTTCACCAGGGAGGCCAGGGCCACTGTAGCTCCAAGCACGAGTCATAGAATTGGAGATCAGCCTGAGGCAGGGGGAGAGGTCTGGCAAGCTGGCAAAGCAATGGACAGCAACAAAAGAGACTAGCAGCTGCCACCAGTGACCAAGCCTGCACCTGGAAGGGCATGTACAAAGGCTGAATGGGCTGAGGGTTTGGGGACCTTAGGTTTATTGCAGCCTGCCCCCACCCCAGACATAATGTAGGTCCTGTTCCAAGGAAGGTGCTGGGGAACAAGTCAGACAGGGGCCATTCAACGGTCTCCTTCTCTGCCAGCTGGACCGGAAGCCAGAGAGGAGCCTGTTAAAAGTCCCTAGGGATATAGTCTGCATCCCTCTGTGGCATCTGCTGCAGCCCAGACACTTAGCCCCCCTCCACACACACACACACACACCTTGTTCTTTTCTGCACAGGTGCCAGGTGCTTCTGGAAAACCTCCAGCAGCTCCCACCTGCCCGGGCCTGGGTTGGGGCAATAGGCCCAGCTCTCTGGGCTGAGCTGTTAGACTGGGAAAGACCCTCTGACCAGTCTAGGGGGACTTTCTCTTCCACAGGGAAGCACCTCTGCCTGAGCAGCAGCCGAAGGTCGAGGTCCCAGGTTTGGGTCAGGCATGGGAAATGGCCCACCTTCCCTCACACTGGGCAGCTGTTCCAGTGCCTGGTTCAGGCTTGATACAAGGTGTGTTCCTAGTGAGTGTTCCAAATCACGGTCCTGCTCCACCCAACTCCTGCCAGGGGAAGGGCTGGCCTCCTTAGGCCCTAAGCACATTGGCACATGCCCAAACCTCTAGGCCCCCCGGGCCCACTGAGGCGCGCTCCTGGCTCTGGAGTCCACCACCAAGGTGTCCCGTCCCCGTCCCTCGTGGGAGATACTTCTGGGCTCCAGCCTCGGACACAGCCCTGGGGAGCTAGGAGGCAGAGTTGAGGGACGCCCCACACTCACCGGCGTCTGTGCTGGGGCTCCGCTCCAGTGCCGCACTCAGGGGCCGTTCGGGCTCTGCGGGGCAGGGCGCCGCCTCCGCAGGGCCGCCCAGCTGTCCCGGGCCGATCGGCGGAGGGCGCGCACCCAGAGGCAGGGGCTTCCTCTCCAGGACAGTCCGAGGCTCGTCCGCCGGTGCAAACACCAGGCGCTGCGGTGGTGGCGGCTTGTCCCCTTGCCGGCCCGAGGCGCGCGTCGGGTCTCGCGGGCCACCATCAGCGCTCAGCAGCGAGGTGCGCAGCCCGGCCACGAAACGCTCAAAAGTCAGATAGCCGCTGGCCGGGGCCACCTGGCGCAGGCCCTCCAGCACGCCGCGGGGCAGCTCGCGCGCGTCAGCACCCTGCCAGCGGGACTCGATCTCGCGCAGGTGCACGTAGCCGCGCCGCCGGTCGTCCAGGATGTCGAAGAGGGTGCGCAGGCTCTGCAGGAAGGCGCGCGGCAGCCCCTCGGTGCCTGGTGCAGTCGCGGCGGGCGGCACGCGGCCCCGCTGAGCCATCGCGGCTGCGGCCATGGACGCCGGGTTGTGTCCCCGCGTCCACACGCTCCTTTCTGGCCGCGGCACGACAGCGGAACCTGTAGGGTGCGCGGCTCTGAGCCACAATAGCTGCTACTTTTGAATGGGGCCCTTCTCGCGGCGTCAGCCCTCATTAGCATTCGGGGCAGTCATTGGCCGAAGGTAGCCTATCTGCTCGCCGATTGGCTGAACGGCCGCGGTCCCTGGTTTGATTTTTCTAGCTGAGAGGCCGGCCTGCGGCAGGCTCTCCCGACTGCCGTGCCGGGGAGGGGCCTGAAGGCTGCCGGACCGGACCGAATACCCCAGCTCGGGCTCTCTCCCGGACCTCCTCTTCTACCTCCACGCCCACCAGCCCTGCCGCAGCGGCTCAGCCTTTTCTCTGGTCCAGCGGCCCCTTAGCCGCCCACCCTTTTCCGACAGGTAGGGCCCGGGGCCCTACAAAACTCCTGTTTCTAGGAAGCCTCCTGGGGGAAGAATGGGAGGGCGCAACCCCTCCAGGGATCCCACCTCCCCACCCACCCCGCCAGCTCCCTCAGGTCCTCTTCACCGAGGGTCTCCTGGCCACAAGTCCCAGTAGACTCTGAGGCCTCCTTCTCTTGCAGGAGGAAGGCCCCAAGAGGATCACAGGCTCCAGCCAGCTCGGCGCTCCCCCTCACAGAGGTTTCTCTGTCCTCACGCTGCTAGCTCCTCCTTTGCCCCCACTTCCAGACTGGCCTGTCCTGCCGGCTGCAGGACAAAGCCACTTTCTCCTGTGTCCCCAGATGCCCATCCGGTAACCAGTTCCCTTGGGCTCCTTGTCCTCTGCGGATACCTCCTCCTGGGTCTCGAAACTTTGTTCCCCCCAGATCCTCTGTTCCAGCCTCTGTTTTGTTTCTAGCAGGGGTCAAATTACTCCAGATGAGGTCCTTAGCCCGCATTCTTGCTCCAGGAGTCTATCTCAAAGCTAACTAGGGGCGCCCTCCAGGAGCAGGAGGTGCTTAGGCACTGTCTGGCTGGATCCCTGCCTCCACCTTTGCCTGTCGTCTAGGACCTGCCCTGGTCCCATCCACCCCCACCCTGGCTCCTGGACACTGAGTGTCACCCACATGTTTCCTGCTGCCTCTGCTTTCTAAGTACTCTATTCGTTTCCAGAACACCTCTGGACAGGCCCCGGCCCAGAGGCCTCCCTTCAGCACCTCCTGGGTAGGCCTCAGCCAGCCTCTCTCCTGGGTCCTCTGTGTCTCAGGCCCAGAGCACAGTGCCTGTGTCTCAGGCCCTGGGGCAGTTGTCATGGCCAACTCCCCTGGCTCTACTGCTCTATGGGGTTATACACTCTTTCAGGGTAAGGAATTTGGGTGGGGCCCCCAAAAGGCTATGATCTCAGAGTCACCCCATGGAGCTTGGTCACGGAAGCCTATTCCTGGTTCCCCTTTTAGCGGCAGGTCAACGATCCTCTACAGACTCATCTTCCCATACCTACTCTCCTTTCAGTACTCCACTTTCCCCAGTCCTTAGTGTACCCTCATTTCTTCACCCCTAAGCTCTGTGCCTGGTGGCCCTCCTACCAGGAAGGCCCTCTCCTCTGTATCTACTCCTGGCTGATATATGTGCTCTTCAAAACTTCATCCAGAGCTGGGTGCAATGGAGCATGCCTATAATCCCAGTGACCTGGGAGGTTGAGGCAGGAGAATTGCAAGTTCAAGGCCAGACTCAGCAATTATGGAGCCTCTAAACAACTTAATGAGACCCTGTCTTAAAAAATAGCCAGGCTGGTGGCATAAGCCTGTAATCCCAGTGGCTCGGGAGGCTGAGGCAGGAGGATCACAAGTTCAAAACCAGCCTCAACAACTTAGCAAGGCCCTAAGCAACTTAGTGAGACCCTGTCTCAAAATAAAAAATAAAAAGGGCTGGAGATGAGCTAAGTGGTTAAGTGCCCCTGGGATGTTCAATTACCAATACCCAATAACAAACAAACAAAGAAAAACTTTTCCCAGGTACTGATCCTTCTACCCCCCCAAGGCCCAGTTATACACCCCTACCTTAGATGCCTGGCTAGGATGGCTGTCCCCCCAAGAGTCCTTGTGCTGTTTGGGAGAGGGTGAGGCCACTCCCAGACCTAACATTGTCCTGGTTCACCATGTTGCTCAGGAGACAGACAGGACACAGGAAACCTTATCTAAAGAGGCCACAGTGGAAAGGCCATCTTTGGGTGGGACACAAGCCAGGATAAGTCCTGTGGGATGGGGAGGCCAAGGGCCAGCTCTGTGGGACTGGACTGGAGGTCAGTGTGGGTATGCAAGTCAGCTACCAGCAGTGCCCAGGCCAGGCAGGGCCCCCAGCTAACCTGAGCATATTGTGCAGAGGAAACAGGGCTTCTCAGAGTATCCAAAACCCTAGGGGAGGTAGCCTTAGCTGGCTCTGGGCCTGTGGTTTCCCCATGGCCCCTGGATGGCCCTGGTGGAGTCAGTGCCTGGCCTCAGGTGTGGGCTGAGGCATAGCCCCTATGTTCTGCCTGGCCTGAGCTCTGACCACATCCTCCCTCCAAGCTGCTTCCCAGCCCAGCTTGACCTTCCACGGACTCGGAAGCTCTCAGCTTTGCCATCACCCCTGGCCCTTCTAGAGCCCTCCCATGACTTTTTTTGAGGCACCCATCCCAGTTTTAATCATTCTCATGTATCAGCCCAGAGCTCCTCTGGGGGAGGTGGGCATGTGGCTAGGCCCCTCTGCCCCAGTGTAGCCCCAGCACTGGGCATGGAGAGAGGGACCTGCAAGTGCTGTCCAGTCTCTGAGTCTTTCACAGGGTTACAGCCTCTGGCCCTGCTCCCCTGAATCCCTGGGACAAGGCCCTAAGCCAAGGTGAGTTGGCCACAAGCCTGCCTCCGCAGGTGTCCACAGGTTGCTGCCCACCTTGGCCTTGCTGACGCTTCATGTCCCTATCTGTCCAAGGAGGTCCATTCTTCTGGTCCTAGGAGTGCCTCTGGCTGCACAAACCTTAACTTTCCAAAGGCACTGATACTACCTCCACCCCTGTCTTAAAGCAGGTTTTGGGGGCTCCTGACCCAGAGGGTTTAAGAATTCATGCTTTGGGCTAGCTCAGTGGCAGAGTGCTTGCCTAGCCTGTGTGAGGCACTGGGTTCCATCCCTAGCACCGCATAGAAATAAACAAATAAAGGCATTTTGTCCATTTACAACTAAAAAAAAAAAAAAAAAAATTTGTTCTGATATCTGGGTTCAAAGGGCACGTGCCTTCTCTCTTGCCCAGCCCTACAAGGGTGATAAGGGTGTCTATGGACCCTGGCCTGGGGTGTGGAGCCTGTTCTGCTTACACAATTCCCTACTTCCAGTCCCTCCACCTCGGAAGATGGCCAGTGGCTGCCCTTCTACCGCACAAACCATCAGAGCAGAACAGAGTGGCCATTCATTCAGCAAGCTCCCTGCCTGTTGGCCACAGCCCAGTCACAGCGATGCTAGGCCTTGTTCAGTCAACAAACTTGTGCTGATCTAAGGAGATAGGGGCTGAGCAACAGGCTCAGCACCCCTCCTTCATTTTACTTGTCGCCCTAGGGACAGGCCCCTGAGAACTCAGGGAGGTAGCAGCCCTGAGTCACATGGCTTTCTGAGGCTGAGTGGTCAGGCAGGAGGACCAGGAAGGCCTGAGGCAAGTTTAAGACTGGGGGTGGGGGGACTGGGGATACAGCTCAGTTGGTAGAGTGCTTGCCTTGCATGCATAAGGCCCTGGGTTCAGTCCCCAGCACCACACACACACACACACACACACACACACACAGACTGGAGGGCACCCTCTTCTGGTCTAGGGGTATTTATTGTGGCCTGGTTCTTGTGGGCTTCCCAACTCAGGGAGACACACTGTCTTGTCAGGGGCAGACCTGAGGGTAAAGCCCCTTTACATTTTGGGTCCAGAACACTACTTGAGCTTTTTAAAAGCATGCTTTACTTTTAGACTTAATAAAGCTAGTTTCTAAGATTTTTTTTCCCCAGATGGCTGAAGAGGCTTCAGAAGAAGCAAGATCTCTTAACATGTGATAGTTAACCAGGCGCGAGGGGCTAGGGCAGTGGGCTGTGGGAAGTATCCGACCCCCTCGCGAGAAGGGAGCCCCCCCTCCCCCCCCCTCACGCGGGACAGTCCTCTTAGCAGCCCGCCTGCTAGATCTGGCTCCACTGCTCTCAGCCCTGCCCAGGGTTTGGACTCCTCCTAGAGGCCCTTGCCGGCCGCTTGGCAGTGACCAGGAAGGGTTAGGGCCGGTCATCCCCCACGCCTGGCCGGCCGGGTCACCGATCCCCTGAGGGGCGCCGCAGCCTCAGCTCGGTCGCCCCTTCGCCTCCGGTGCTACGGTCCAGCTCTTCCACCGGCTCCTGCAGGAACTACCGCAGACCTTCTCCCGCTTCCTAGGAGCGGAGCGGGGAGGGGCGGACGGGACTGTCTTGGGGGCGGGGATAGAGAGGGCCTGGGGCGGAGCCAAAGCCAAGAGCGGGGCAGGAACCCGGACACAAGCTCCGGGGACGAATCCAGGGACAGGGAGGCCCCGGAGTGGGGCGGGGCCAGGCTGGAGACGGGGCAGGGCGGGGGAGTTTGCGGCCGCTTCAGGGCCCGGTCCGGGTCAAAGGGGGCACCTTGGGCCCGCCCAGCCAGGGTCGGCTCCGCCTGCCAGGTCTCGTGACCTTAGTCGGACGGAGCGCGCGGGTCACGAGTGCCAACTAGTCTTGCGGTGACGGCGACGGCGACGACATGGCCTCGGAATCGGACGTGCGCGCCCAGCTCCAGCGCGCGGGCCAGGAGCATCTTCTGCGCTTCTGGGCCGAGCTGGCCCCGGGGCCGCGCGCCGCGCTGCTGGCTGAGCTGGCGCCGCTCGAGCCCGACGCGCTGCGCGAGCATTGTAGACGGGCGGCGGCGGCCTGGGCGCGCGCCTCCGGCCCGCCACCAGGCCTGGCCGCGCGCCTGCAGCCCCTGCCTCCGGAGCGCGTGGGCCGCGCGAGGCTCTGCGACCCCGAGACCCGGCGGCGTTGGGAGGAGGAAGGTAGGCGGTGCAGAGGTCCCGGTGGCGGGTGGCGACTCTTGCGGGCCAGAAGGGGTCATGCCCACCGAGCGGGACTCGGGGAGTTTGGTTTGCCTTCCGGCGCTCCCCACTCGCGCGTACTAGTCCTGAGGTCCTGTAGCCGAAGCCCCAGGTGTACCCTCACCCCTAGGTTTCCGCCAGATTGCCCTGAACAAGGTGGCAGTCCTGCTGCTGGCTGGTGGGCAGGGCACTCGGCTGGGTGTCACCTACCCCAAGGGCATGTATGATGTGGGGCTGCCCAGCCAGAAGACCCTGTACCAGCTGCAGGCGGAACGCATCCGGCGGGTGGAGCAGTTGGCTGGCGAACGCCATGGGACTCACTGCACCGTGCCTTGGTGTGTCCTCCCTGTCCCATTTAACCCCAGAGTGACCCTCCCCATGTGGTACCAGCCCTGCCCCACACCAAGGCCTGATCCCCCACACCAGCACAGCCCTGGATAAAGCCCCAAACCCATCCAGGCTGAGGTCTGACAGGCCCCAATCTGGACCCCAGTGCCCTTCTTACACAGCCCCTTTTGGCAGAGGGGTCAGGAGCCCTGGAGCCAGCTCACCACAGTCTCCTCTACAGGTACATCATGACCAGTGAGTTCACACTGGGGCCCACTGCCAAGTTCTTCAAGGAGCATGACTTTTTCCACCTGGACCCTGCCAACGTGGTCCTGTTTGAACAGCGCATGCTACCTGCTGTGACCTTTGAGGGCAGGGCCATCCTGGAGCGGAAAGACAAAGTTGCCATGGCCCCAGGTACCACCCACCACTGAGACAAGAAGAGGCCACCCAGCCTGGATCTCAGTGCAGCTGGGGGTCCAGAGGCCTGGATCCCTGGCTGGATGTGCTGCTGGGAGGCTGTCTAATCGTAGGCCAGTCGCCTCTCCTCTCTGGGCATTGATTGCCATCTGTTGCATGGTTTAGCCACAGAGTTATTTGATGGTGAATGTCGGGGCATGCCCACCTGCAACATTTCTTGGACTAGTGGGCGAGGCCTGGCTAGAGCCAGTGATAAGGCCCATTTCTTTCTTCCTCTGCAGATGGCAACGGGGGTCTCTACTGCGCTCTAGAGGACCACCGTATCCTGCAGGACATGGAGCTTCGGGGAGTGGAGTTTGTGCATGTGTACTGTGTGGACAACATCCTGGTGCGGCTGGCTGACCCTGTCTTTATTGGTTTCTGTGTGCTGCAGGGTGCCGACTGTGGGGCCAAGGTGAGCGCCAAGCCCCGCCCCTCCACCAAACCCCTCACACTCAGCCTGGCCTCACCCAGTACTGAGCCCATCCCTTGTGACTGCAGGTGGTGGAAAAGGCGTACCCTGAGGAACCTGTGGGCGTGGTGTGTCAGCTGGACGGGGTTCCCCAAGTGGTGGAGTACAGTGAGATCAACTCTGAGGTCGCCCATCTGCGTGGCACCGATGGTAGCCTGATTTACAATGCAGGCAACATCTGCAATCACTTCTTCACCCGCGACTTCCTCCAGACCATCACCAGGTAGCCAGCAGGAGGCTGTGGAAGCCCAGCGAGAGCTGCCTACCATGACCAAGGGCCAGCATGCCAGAT